AAAAAAAAAAAAAAAAAAAGTAACAGGAAATAAAACCAAGGCAAGACGAGCTCTCTGTGTGTCTGTGAGCCCCTCCCCAGACCCAACCCTGGCTTCCCCAAGAGGTAACCCCTCCCAGGAACTGGGCGTTTGTCACTTTTCTGCACAGGTCTACAGCTCTACTACAAATGTGTTTCTCTAAGTAGCACATGGGGTTGTTCTGCCTGGTGAAAACAAGTCAACTCTATCATGCTACAGTATTTTTTCTGATGTTTGTGCTGTTTCTGAGACAGCCTTGACACCTTCCCCTATTCTATAGCATTCTGTTGGCTGACTTTGCCATAGTGTATGTGCCCATTCTCCCATGGATGGACTTTTCATTTGCTTCTCAATGTCTGCTACCAAAAATCTCCCTGCAATGAATTTATTTTATGTATCCCCTTGTATGTGTGTAGGAGGGTCCCCTAACTGTTTACAGGTATCTCAGCAACTCTGCTCTCCCCACTCAGACCTCATTTCCCTCCTCCAGACATGCTCAAAGGAAACTGGGAGCAACACAGAATCAACCTTGAATCTCTGTCCACCACCTGCAAACTGAATGACACCAGCAAGTGAACAACATCCTCTACCTGGGCCGCGGTTTCCCCTCTGTAAAACAGGAATGACCTACCTTGCCCAGTCAAGGCAGATCAATATAAAACAACTTCTGGCCGAGTGTGGTGGCTCATGCCTGTAATCCCAGCACTTTGGGAAGCTAAGGCTGGAGGATTCCTGAGGCCAGGAGTTCAAGACCAGCCTGGGCAGTGTAGCAAGATCCCATCTCTCTAAAGAAGAAGAAGAAATATATATATATATATATATATATTATTATTGAGATAGACTTTCACTCTTGTCACCCAGGCTGGAGTGCAATGGTATGATCTCAGCTCACCACAACCTCCACCTCCTGGGTTCAAGCGATTCTCCTGCCTCAGCCTCCTGAGTAGCTAGGACTACAGGCATGCACCACTACACCCAGCTAATTTTTATATTTTTAGTAAAGATGGGGTTTCACCATGTTGGCCAGGCTGGTCTCTAACTCCTGACCCCCAAAGTGCTGGGATTACAGGCATGAGCCATGGCGCCCAGCCTGTTTTTCTAAAAAAAGAATTCTGCCAGGCGCAGCGGCTCACGCCTGTAATCCCAGCACTTTGGAAGGCCAAGGTGGGCAGATCACAAGGTCAAAAGATCAAGACCATCCTGCCCAACATGGTGAAACCCAGTCTCTACTAAAAATACAAAAATTAGCTGGGTGTGGTGGTGCGCAACTGTAGTCCCAGCTACTCAGAAGGCTGAGGCAGGAGAATCGCTTGAACCCAGGAGGTGAAGGTGTCCATGAGTGGAGATTGCGTCACTGCTCTCCAGCCTGGTGACAGAGTGAGACTCCGTCTCAAAAAAAAAAGAATTCCAATAAAGAGCTGATCATGGTTCTAACTCCATTAATACCAGGAACACCATGTCATATCACATAATGAGACAGGGAGACATTCTGATCCTCATCAGAATGAAAAGTGCCAAGGCTCGAAGGATCAAACTGCCCACCTCGTCACATGGGTCGTCAGCCACGGGGCAGCCTGCCTTACTGATTCTTCATGAGCATTTATAGTGATTAGCATTTATTGAGCAACTATTATGTGCCATTTCTGTGCACCCAGCAACCCCTTTAAGTCCTTGTTTCTTTTTTCTTTTTCTTTTTGAGATGGAGTCTCGCTCTGTTACCCAGGCTGGAGTGCAATGGCACGGTCTCAGCTCACTGCAACCTCAGCCTCCCAAGTTCAAGTGATTCTCCTGTCTCAGCCTCCTGAGTAGCTGGGATTACAGGCACCCACCATGCCCTGCTAATTTTTGTGTTTTTTGGTAGAGATGGGGGTGTCGCCATATTGCTCAGGCTGGTCTTGAACTCCTGACCTCTTGATCTGCCTGCCTCGGCCTCCCAAAGTGTTGGGATTACAGGCATGAGCCACGGTGCCCAGCCTTAAGTCATTGTTTCCAATCCCAAGAAGCAAGGAAATGGCGTCAGGGAAGGGACAAGGTTTGCCCAAGGTCAGGCAGGGACAGAGGTCAAGATCAGAACCCTCACCTGTCCGCAGCACGTGCCCAGGACTCAGGCTCCCTAGGCTTCCTTCCAAAGGCTCAGCAGTGATGACCCAGCCCTTGAACCAGCCTCTTCCCCCACCCAGGCAGCCACCTGTCAGGGGAATTGTGGCTACCACAGGTGCAGGGAGCAGTTCCTCTCTACTCACGGCCTGAAGCATACCCAGCAGGGGCTGTCCCCAGACCCAACAAGCAAAGGACCCAGCAGCAAGGGCCACTGGAGCCCATCTCCGGGGGGCTGGGCAGGAAGCAGGGAGGAGTTTGGTATAGGGAGCTGGTACCCTGGGACTGCTGCAGCTCAAACTAACCCACCCACCGGGAGAAGATGCCTGGGGGTCTCGGAGCCCTCCAAGCTCTGCCTGCCTCCATCTTCCTCCTCTTCCTGCTGTCTGCTGCCTACCTGGGTATGTGGCCAACGGGCGGGACTGGGGGGAGGTGGGGGAAGCCCTGGAGGCTGCAGAGAGGGCACAGGTGGAGGGAAGGGGGCTGAAGAGAGGGGAATAGGAGGCAGAGAGCACGGAGCCAGGGGAGACACCTATAGAAATCGGGTCTGTTCCAAGCTGGGCAAAGATGCGGCTGGAGAGAGCCCAGTGAAGAAAAGGGGTGTCCAGAGCCCCACAGAGGGAGGCAGGAGCAAGCGTCACCTCCCCCACCTCCTGTAAAAGAAGGAACTAAAGCTGCTCTTGACTGAGCACCAGCGCTGGGGGCAGGAAGGGGACTCGGGGCTAGCAGTGTTCAGTGTCTGACAAGGGGAAAAAAAGCTTTCTCTGCCTTAAATCTCAGGCGACTCCCTGTGTTGGGAGCCCCTTCTCAGCACTGGGGGAACCAATGCCTCATGGACCCCCCTTGCCCACCCAGGGCCAGCTGGTGGGCGCTGTGGCCATGCTACCCCAGGGGCTCAGAGGTTTCTTGGTTTCTCAGGGAAAGCGGAGTTCCCACCCGAGTCTTAAGCCCAAGCTGACGAGGGTGCTTGGCCCCTCTGCCCACCTCTTCTTCCTTCTCTTTTCCCCACCTCCCTCCTCCGACTGCTTCCAGAAGAAGAGGTCGGCCATGTGGGCGGCCTGACTGAGATCTGGGGCTTCCCAGAGGAGCCCGGATTGGACGCTGCCACCAGCCTGAGCCACCCCGACTCAGACATCCGCAGCCTCCACCCTGCTGAGGGCCTTTGCTCACCCCCAGCCCAGCCCAAGGACTGAACTCACCCCTGACCCTGAAGTTGACACATACAAGTTACAGAGAATGAGGGACGGGCACAGGGTCACAGGCCAGGGCAGGTCACAGACAGGCTCCTCAGCCCAGGCAGAAAGAGGCCAGGGAGCCAGGAGTTTGAACCCAGTGGCGCTCCTGATTGCCTGGTGACGCTGGCAACCCGCCTGCCCTCCCCGGGCCTCAGTCATCCCTCCTGTAAAGTGGAGTTAAGGAAAGAACCTATTGCTAGGGTTCTGTGAGGATTACACAAGAAAAAGTGCCAGGTGCACAGCCTGGCTGAGGCTGGGGTGGGAAAATGGGCTGGGAAGGTTGTGGGAGGAGGGAATGCCTGCACTGCTTCTGGAAAGAGCTGTCTGGACAGCGGTCCTCCAGTTCCTAGAACAAACATTCAAAAGCCAGTGAGTTCTCAGGCCAGAGCACAAAGTGGGTATGGAGGAGCGGGGCAGGAGATGGCGCTGCAGAGGTGACAAGGGCCTCCCAGGCGTCTCACCATCCCAGAGAGTCTCATTCTCCTCCCCCAGGATGTCCGCACCTACCCCAAGCAGCTGTGTCCTCTCTCCTTTCCCAGGGGCATCTTCACTCCTGCATCTGCCTCTCCCCAAGATGCATCAGCTCCTGTCAGGGGCTCTGCCTCTCCCTCCCCACCCAGGAGAGTCCTCACCCTCCTCCCCTCCCCCCAGGAGAGTCCTCACCCTCCTCCCCTCCCCCCAGGAGTGTCCTCACCCTCCTCCCCTCCCCACCCAGGAGTGCTGGAGCTGTAAGAGCCAGGGCTGGGGGCCTGTGTCACCATGCCCAGTCCCTGACCCACCCACCCTGCCTCTCCACAGGCCCTGGGTGCCAGGCCCTGTGGGTGCACGAGGGCCCAACATCGTTGATGGTGAGCCTGGGGGAAGAGGCCCACTTGCAGTGCCTTCACAATGGCAGTAACACCAACGTCACCTGGTGGCGTGTCCTCCACGGCAACTACACATGGCCCCCGGCATTCGTGGGCCTGGGCAAGGGTGTCAATGGTACGCTGACCATCCAGAAGGTGAACAAGAGCCACGGAGGCATGTACATGTGCCGTGTCCAGGAGGGCAACAAGCCATACAAGCAATCCTGTGGCACCTACCTCCGCGTGCGCCGTGAGTGGCCTGGCCCTGGCCCCTACCCCCACTCTCCCGCTGGGGACACTCAGTTTACCCTTGAAGTGTGTGGGGGGGAAGGGGATACGCCCAGTACTTTCATTGTGGGTTTCAAACTGGCTCGGACGAGGGACTGACAAACTTCTCGGCAGAGTGGAGGTTCCGGGGGGCCTGGGGCCTTGCAGAGGTTGGGCAGCTGTGCCAGGGCTCTGAGCTGTACCACCTCCTTGCAGACCGGCCCCCCAGGCCCTTCCTGGACATGGGGGAGGGCACCAAGAACCGCATCATCACAGCCGAGGGGATTATCCTCCTGTTCTGCGCAGTGGTGCCTGGAACATTGCTGCTGTTCAGGGTGAGTCTGCTGGGACCCCCAAGTCGGCGGGCAAGGGCCTGGGCTGAGGGACTCCCAATGCTCAGGTAGCCCTCTAGAGCCTAAAGTTCTCCATCCAAAACTTGGGAGAAGAAAGCACCCATCGCACAGGGGCTGTGGAAGTTAAATGAATGAATATGAAGAAGGGACTTGGGCCAGGCGTGGTGGCTCACGCCTGTAATCCCAACACACTGGGAGGCCGAGGCAGAAGGATCACTTGTGGTCAGAGGTTCGAGACTAGCCTGGCCAATACGGTGAAACCCCATCTCTACTAAAAAAAAATCCAAAAACTAGCCAGGTGTGGTGGCGGGTGCCTGTAATCCCAGCTACTCCAGAGGCTGAGGCAGGAGAATTGCTTGAACACAGGAGGCAGAGGTTGCAGTGAGCCGAGATTGCGCTATTGCACTCCAGCTTAGATGACAAGAACAATACTCCATCTCAAAAAAAAAAAAGAAGGGACTCGAACTGGCGCTGGGCCCAGGGGGTGTCTTCAATTTAGTTTCCCCTTCAGGGCTGTCCTCACGTCCACCTCCCGCTGAAAAGAGTCTCATTCTTCCCCCTAAGCGTGTCCTCACTCTCCTCCTGCCCTCACCCAGGAGTGCAGTTACCCTCCAGGTGTAGCCAAGACCAGGGAAGGTGGGGCCTAGGGGTCCTCCCGGAATCTCTGATCTGTACCAGCCTCTCTGTAGACCCCTCAGCAACTGCAACTGTTATTGGTGTTACTCATGGAGAACGGTAAGGGAGTGGAGGGTCTAGAGAACGGAGGCAAGAGGATCACTTGAGGCCGCAAGTTTGAGACCAGCCTGGGCAACACAGTAAGACCCTATCTCTACAAAAAGTCTTTTGTCTTTTTTTTTTTTTTTTTTAAAGACTGGGTTTCACCATGTTGGTCAGGCTGGTCTTGAACTCCCGACCTCTGGTGATCCGCCCGCCTTGGCCTCCAAAGTGCTTGGATTACAGGCGTGCGCCACCACGCCCAGCCTACAAAAAGTCTTAAAAAAATTAGCCAGGTGTGGTGGCATGCACCTACGGTCCCGGCTGCTCAGGAGGCTGAGGTGGGAGTATTGCTTGAAGGAGTTCAAGGCTGCGGTGAAATATGACAGTGCTACGGCACTCCAGCCTGGGCAACAGAGGGAGACTCTGTTTAAAAAAAAAAAGAAGAATCACGAGGTCGAGAGATCAAGACCATCCTGGTCAACATGGTGAAACCCCGACTCTACTAAAACTACAAAAAATTAGCTGGGCATGGTGGCACGTGCCTGTAGTCCCAGCTACTCAGGAGGCTGAGGCAGAAGAATTGCCTGAACCCAGGAGGCGGAGGTTGCGGTGAGCCGAGATCGTGCCATTGCACTCCAGCCTGGGTAACAAGAGCGAAACTCCATCTAAAAAAAAAAAAAAAAAAAAAAAGAAGAAGAAAGAAAGAGAGAGAGAAAGAAGGAGGAAAGAAAGAAAGGCAAAGAAAAAACAGTTGTAGACTCAGAGGTAACTGCTATGTAACCAGTATGTGGCCTTGGGCACATCTCTAACCCTTTCTGAAAAGGCACCTCCTGGCATCCAGGAGGGTCCAAAAGATATTCACCTCCCCCTGCTCACTGAGTCACCCACTCCACGCACCCCTACAGAAACGATGGCACAATGAGAAGCTCGGCTTGGATGCTGGGGATGAATATGAAGATGAAAACCTTTATGAAGTGAGTGAAGGGTGGGGACAGGGTAGGGGCAGGTGTGTTAGCGGTTGGGTGGGGGGAGGGTCCCAGAAAGAACAGCATGGGGTTCCCTCTAGGAGGGGTTGGGGACAGGGACCCCAGGTGCCAGAGTGCTGATGTCCACTGCCTCGTTTCCACCCCAGGGCCTGAACCTCGATGACTGCTCCATGTATGAGGACATCTCCCGGGGCCTCCAGGGCACCTACCAGGATGTGGGCAGCCTCCACGTAGGAGATGTCCAGCTGGAGAAGCCGTGACACCCCCTCCCCTGCCAGGCTGCCGCCACCTGCAGTGCGTCCAGCTCCAGGGTTTCTCCTCACTTCCCTGGGACATTCTTCAGCCCTCCTGGGGGATTCCTTAGTCATCTTCCCCCGGTTGGGGGTGGGGAGGTAACCTCACTCTTCTCCAGGCCAGGCCCCCTTGGACACCCCCCGGGGGTGTCCCACTCTTCTTCCCTCTAGACTACCCCACCCCCCGCCCCCTAACCCAATCCTCCCCCTGCTGCCTTTCCCAGGCTCCCACCAACCCCAGCGGGTAATGAGCCCTTAATCACTGCCTCTAGGGGAGCTGATTGTAGCAGCCTCGTTAGTGTCACCCCCTCCTCCCAGATCTGTCAGGGCCACTTAGTGATAATAAATTCTTCCCAATAGCAGGCCTTGGCAGGAGTCGTGGATCTTATGGGAACCGCCTCTCCCACACTTCCCTTAGACCCAGAAGTCCCAGCCCAAGCCACCCCCTGCCCACTCCCCACACCTGGGACCAGGTAGCCAGTCTGGGCTGCCCCCCTGGGAGAAATAGGACATCTCTTTGGGAGGTCCCCAACCCAACTGAAGGACTGGTTTGGCTGTATCTGCAGGGTATCACCCTAGGGTCACGGTTTCAAGCAAGAAGGAGAGAAGATCAATATAGGTGTGCCTACCAAATTACTTATGCTTTTTTTTTTTTTTTTTTTT